ATTGAGCCAGTGCTGCCCAAAGAGATTTCCACAGTCAGGTAACCAAGCATGACGTGACAGAGCTCTGTTACCTTCCCACCAAAGTGACACCTATTTCTCTGTCAGAAATGGTATAGGGCCGTGTTGGTGAACCTAGGCCACGCATGCCGGAAGTGGCACGCAGAGCCATTTCCCTCAGCACGCAAGAGGTCACCCGGAAGAGCCCCACTGTGCATGCGCGCCGCCTCCCAACAGCTGATTGTCGGGTATCTGGCGCACATGTGCAGAGGGTGGAGGGGAGTACCCGGGAGACGCTTGTGCATACAAAGGGATGTGCTGCGCGTGGGGGAAAAAACCAGGGGTGGGATTCAAATTTTTTAACAAACGGTTCTGTGGGCGTGTCTTAGTTGGTGGGCGTGTCTTGGTGGTCATGTTATTGGCTGGGCGTGGCCAACTCAACATCACTCACATCGAGGCACGCATCTCCTCGCCTGGCCTCTCGTGACTGTGGGGATGATGCAACAGTCGTAAGTGTGAAAAACAGTCATAAATCACTTTTTTTCAGTGCCATTGTAACTTTGGATGGTCACTCCACACAAGCAAAGTACCAGCAAAGGAGGGGGAAAAAACTCCAGAGAAGTTCCAGAGACAGGAAGTCTAGTCCTGCCAAGAATGTAAAAAGGGTCAACGGAGAGGCAGTTTCTGTAAGCAACACCAGAATGTTTCCTTCCTGCCTCTCTTACAGGATTAGCCCTGTAATTTCTTCTAACAACCAGTTCTCTGAACTGCTTAGAATGTTAACAACCGGTTCTAGTGAATAGATGCAAACTGGTAGAAACCCACCCCTGGGGGAAATACACATGCATGTGCAGACCCACGGCACACGAGGATGGAATTGCACGTGCATGTGCAGACGTGCGGTGCGCGAGGGGGTTTGTAAGCACATGTGCAGGGGGCATGGGGGCCCCAGCACACATTGCCTTCTGGGTGCTGGCACATAAGCACGTGCAAGTGAGCAATTATCAGCATGGCAGCCGAAAAAGATTAGCCACCACTGGTATAGGGTCTCTTCTTTGAGCAGGCGTTTGGACTAGATGACCTACAAGATCACTTCCAACCATGTTATTCCATTCCATTCCAGTTTCTAGTCCAGGGCTCTCCAACTTTGGCAACTTTAAGACTTGTGGACTTCAACTCCCAGAA